TTCTTATTGTATTCGGTCAACATACGTCGAGCACGTGCCAGAAACGTACCGAAGTTAGTACGAGGAGCCCATCGAAGATCATGAAAGTTGTCCAAGAGAGCATCCGCTGGACGACGAGCCAGCATCTGCAGCATGATCCGACCGTCCTCCTCGAAAATCTGCTTAGGGGCGTACTGATTCCACATCTCGTAGACCTCATCGGTAAGGTACATTCCTAAGCGAGCAGCCTTCGTAGACGAAATTCAGCCGGCAGCATTAGCAGTGTTCTCATAGCGTCTCAGCCATGTAGCAAAGTCGGTGTACCATTGTATCGTTCTGGCATTTGCAGGTTAACACGAAGCTCCTCCTTGTGGCCACGGTCGATAACTGGAGCCTGAGGGCGTACAGAACCAGCCTCAGCCCAAGTTGACAAGGCATCAAAGAGGTCGTTGTAGTCTCTGGCATGATCAACGGCCAGCCGTATGTGATACTGAGTAGCATCTTCGTCCATACCAGCAGCGGTAGCATCTGCTCTTGCTTGCTCTTCAATGAGCGACAGATCTTTCTTCTGAATGCCAAGATCGTTACCAGGTGACGACATTGGAAACCAAACACGTAGAAGATGGCCTCAACCCACTGATAAGGGATAACCGAGCTTAAAGGGAACGGAGTTGTAGTAATAGCAACAAGGAGCTGCTACGAGAAATGTAGTCCGTCGAGAGGAGAACCACAGTGACCAAGATCGTTCTGCTATTACTAGTGAACTCGACAGTACGTTAGTGCGAGGATCTACTAAGTACAGTACATCTGAGCTCGTGAGAAAGGTAATTCCGTGAGGAACCACAAGCAATGCCGTAAGGAACCACAAAGCGTGACAGCCACATGGTGGCGTGACGCACCAATCGATTACGCTACTAGGGCGAACGAGATTAGAACTGCGTCCTAAGTCTAAGGGAATGTCAAGCGGTCAAGTCAGTAAGTTCCAAGGTCTACAGAAAGAAGAATGGTTGTGGGCGTGCGGTGAAGTTCACCGGGTGAACGTAAAGTAGATTTCTTGCAATCTCACGCACTCTCGATTATAGATGGGCGAGTTTACGTTACGGGCCGTTAACGTCGACGTTTACGGTTTACGGACGGAAAAAACGCGGAATTTACGGCCTGACGTAAACGGCGTTTACGCCACAGCTGCGCGCGCGTCAGCGCGCTCCTCGATTGAACCACCAACCTATTGTTCATTACTGCTCCACGCTAACCGCGATTCGAGATTCATTCACGGGATGTACCGCGACTGCTACAGTTTGTTTTGGAACATTCGCTCCTTTCCTAATGTCAACTGGTGAAGTCTCTGTGGTTGCGATCGATGACCCTTTCCTTATGAAGTTCCCAGGGTGGGTCCGGGAGAAGTCCGACGATGGCGAATATGCCCGCTGTCCTAAATGTGGGAGACTCATTAAGATAAGTAAGAAGTCTTCCAGTGGTGTCAAGTATCACCAAAAGTCTTGCGGGAAAAGGAAGCGCAGCGATCCTAGCAAAACTGGGAACAAGGAGAATCAAGCAGAGTGCAGAGAGGCGCTATATCAGTTTGTGGCCCACTCTGGCGTCCCGCTCTGCACCGTTGAGAATGAATACTTCAAACGCCTACTACGGTGCTTGAATCCACATTTCGAGGCTCCTAGCCGCCGAGATCTAGTTCGTCAATTGCGAGACAGAGTCGCCAATCACGTGGAGATGGTGCAAAGTAATTCAGCTACTCGGTCATGCTTGAACTGATCGCGTGGTTTGCTCTCAGAAAGGCTCGACGGAGTCTCTCAAATAAGCCTGAGTATCGACGCGTGGTCGAGAAGCAGCCGTTCGAGCTTTCTATGTGAGCGATTGATATAGCGGATTTTTAATGCTGAGCTTCCAGGTATAACAGCACACTTTGTCAGAACCGACAAAGTCCGCCGTCAGATTGTGGATTTTAGACGCATCCAAGGCCGTCATACGGCCAGCAACCTTGCCGGGGAGTTGATGAATACGATAACGGAAACTGGGATCGGAGACCGGGTTTGTAGCGTGACCAGTGATGCAGCTTCGGTCAATATCAAGATGATGAAGCTGATTGAGCAAAAGCCTGGGACCATTATCCACGTATTATGTGTGGGGCACAAACTCCACCTATCGGTCACTAATGGTCTGGGTCTGTGGTCTTGCAAAACCATCGATGAAGATGATACTAGGTCCAGTCAGCAGACCGAAGATAGCTCCTCCGACGAAGACGGGGATCCGGACGACATCCTCGCAGAAGCTGAGTCCGATTCGGATGCTGAAGATATAGACGAGTCTTCTGACCTCGCGTGGTCGCGGGGTGTGGAAACAACTGATGATAGAAGATGTCGACAGTGGGGTGTTGCACTTCTGAAAGCTCGGGCTAACGGTCGGCTCCTACGTCAGTCCTCCGTTGCGAGCAGCCTGCTATCTGAGTGCATGAGAGCCGAAGGTATTGTGAGGCAGCGAGTCTGCCCCCGGGACATCAACATCCGTTGGAATAGCACTTACCGCATGGTACAATGGTATGTAGAATATCGCCCGGTCTTCAGTCTCTTCCAAACCCGTTGTCAAGCTTTGCCGAAGTCGGACAACTTGCACAAGCATTTCCGCAAGTTCGCGTTGACAGTTCCTGATTTCGAGTCTCTGCAGAACTTGGCGTCAGTTCTGTGCCATTTCGAGGATGCCACTCGCCTGTTTTCTGGATCGTCGTACTGTACGCTCAGTCTTATTAGACCGGTGGTGAAGGGCCTACTCCAGAAGTGCAGCGGTGCAGGTGGGCGCTCGCAGTTATGCCGGATCAAGGATCGTGTGCATGAGAGCTTGAACAACTACTTCAAGTTTTGCTTGATTGAAACGGACTCGGGCATTCTTCACCATGCCTGCGTGGCTGCATCCTATCTCCATCCTGCATTCGCCGATACGGAGGACGAGGACTCCGCTCAAGATTCTATCAGAAAATGTATGGCTTTCTTTGGCATCAGTGACAGTGCTCTTGACGCTGACGACTCCTCATCAACTAGTAGGCATGGGGTAGAGGGTACTTTGTTGGGTGCCCTCAATCGCAGAGATCTCAGGAGGACAACAACGGCGGTGACGGGTTTGTCTCGCGAGTTGATCGCATATGAGCAGAGGTTGAGATCCGAGTCTGCCGTGCACTCGGATTTCCTCGGCTTCTGGGCAGGCTGCCCAGATTTGCCCATTCTCACTAAGGTTGCTGTTGCCCTCGCAACAATTCCTGGGAGTAGTTGCAGCTGCGAAGAGAGCTTCAGCTTAGCTGGATCTTTATCGAGAAGCAGAAGATCCAGATTATCTGACAGCACTTTACGTACCTTAATGCTTTTGAAGAGCATTAGCTCTGCTATCGGCCCTTAGTATTCTTTAATCTGTGACACATATTATGTGTAGCGTCCCATTGCTGTGTGTCTT